AGTTTAGCAATGAAAGGCAGGAGAGATATAGGATGACAATTAGTGAAGATGGATGGCTCAAAAGAGAGTTTTTTGAGGATGGAGGAAGACAGGGATATTTACAGGCAGTAAGGAAGGAGCTACTAGATATGGAGAGATTGAAATTAAGTGAGAAAGTGGGGATGATAGAAGGGACAATCTGCTGAAGAAGAGAGGGAGCTTTGGCAAGGAGAGGGGTCACTTCTTCATATGAAACATGTGAAAGCAGAGATGGTGACAGAAGGCATCTGGATGATATGAGATAAGGAGGAGAGAGAAGAGGGAGCTCTAGGCAAATGATCTCAATTTTATCAATAAAATATCAGATAAGGTTCTTATCTGAGAGGGTGAGGGTAAAGACAAGCCCAGGAAGGTTTGAGGAGGTTTGAAAGGGTTTGGAAGAGCTACTGTGGTGAGTGGGATGGTGACTGAAGGCTCAGCTGTTTTTAGCTTTCACAGAGTAACAGGCCAATCTTGTAGTCATGAATTCTCTGATGACATCTTTTTTTTTAATTTGTAATTTCTCTTGCATAACTCCTTTTTTAAATTGTGAGGCAACCTATCCATGCCACCATACACTTCTTATTGCCACTTGGCAGGCTTTAGCTTCAATTAGTATTCCATGATTTGGAGCCTTATAACATTGCAAGAAGTATGTGGTTGTTAAGAATAAGGACTTTTGTTTCTGAAAGAAATTTGGTTTCATTGAAAAAATTGTACTATTTCCTTTCTTTCCCCTGCTTAGTTCTAGGCCCTCTTTACCACCACTCTCCATTCAAATACAACATTCAAAAGGCCATCTTTTAAATAACAATGCACTTCATTTTATACTACTTTACAATTTTCAAAATGTTTTTCACATACGTTATTCCTTTTGAAACTCAAAATGCACCTAAGCATTGCAGCTATTGTAATATCCACTGTACAGATGAGAAAACTGAATCTCACAGGGGTTGTGTTTTTCCAAAGGTCACCAAGGTAGGAAAATCCAAACATACATTATATATTGTTTTTAATTTTAGATTTTTTTTATTCTAAATTTAATGAATAATCAAAATTATTTTCAAATTTAAAATATAACAGAAAATATTATAAAACCACACATATACTAAGTAAACTTTGCTTTTTAAAAAGTGTATAATAAATTCAACATGCTATAGTCAAAGCTTGTGTTTCCTCAGACATATTTTTTTAAAGGGAAAAAAAACACATGTAAAAGTTTTAACTTCTCACCGTGACTGGTTTCTGTGATAACTGAAATCAATAAAAGGAATCCAAGCTTAGCAATTCCAAATAATTCTATCCAAATGCATAAAAAATGTCTGAATTGGGGCTGCTAGGTGGCGCAGTGGATAGAGCTCTGGCCTTGGAGTCAAGAGGACCTGAGTTCAAATCCAGCCTCAGACACGTAACACTTCCTTAGCTGTGTGACTTTGGGCAAGTCACTTAACCCCAACTGCCTCAGCAAAAAAAAAAAAAAGACTGAACTGAAGTGTAATGATTTTAAATTATGAAATAAATTATTTAAAATGAGAATACTCCATGGGGTAAGAAACTGTTACATAATCATTTTATGCATATTTATGATGACTATGTTAGCACAAATCATATATTCATGGAAGTCAACTATTGGATATAAATACAACACTGAATGAATCATTTTACTCAGAAGACTTCCAGATATCTATTATAGCTAACCTCCTGACCTACAATCCACATCTGTCTGTTGAACACAACAAAATGATTGTTTCCTATGCACCTCAAACTGAATACATCCAAAACAGAGCTCATTATCTTTTCTCTCAGGCCTTCCCACCCTTCCCTAATTCCATATATCTATCAAAAACATCATAATCCTTCCAGTCATTCACATTAGCAATGCCAGACATAGTCTCAAAACTTCAATTTCCCTCATGTCCCATGTTGCCAGCTCTTGCCTGTTCTACCACCACATCTCACTCTTCCCTTACACAGTCATTGCCTAAGGTGAGGTCTACATCTTCTCTTATTTGGACTTTTGCAGTAGCCTCTAATTGTTCTCTATTGCTCAGGTTTCTTCATTTTCCAATCCATCCTCCAACCAGGTGCCAAATTGATGTATGAAGTTTCAAGGGCTCCCTAGAGCTAATAGGATAAAATATAAATTCTTCCTTTTGGCATTTAAAACTTTCCATCTGGCTCCAAACTAATGATATTTAAGTTTATTGCACTTCATTTCCCTTCACACATTCTATATACCTGTCAAACTAGGGACTGCTTGCTGTGCTCTATATTCCCTATGACATTCTATCTCCTATTTCCAGGCCATTGGTTATACTGTCTCCCACATTTTGGACTGTATTCCCTCCTCAACTCCTCCTCATAGAATACCCAGCTCCAATATTGAGTTCAATAGTAAGATTATTGGGTCAAATGGTATGGTAGTTTATTAACATTTCTCACATTATTCAAAATTTTTGTCCATAGGAGTTGGGTCAGTTTATAGCTCTAACAACAATGTATGAGTATGTCCATTTTCCTGCAATTCTTCCAACATTTCTAGTTCCAACTTCTATTATCTTTGGCAATTTGGTGGATATGAAACCTCAGAATTGTCATAATTTGCAGTTTTCTTTTTATGATTTGGAGCATTTTTGCATGACTGTTGGTGTTTGCAATTCTTTCGAAAATTATTTGCTCATGTCCTTTGACCATTTATCTTTTATGGAATAGTTCATTGTCAGTATAAGTCCTTAAATATATTTTGAATGTTAAACTTGTAGCAGAGCTGTTTGAGGCAACGATTTTTTCCTCCAATTGGTAGCTTCTATTTTGACTTTTATAAACTGGTTTTATTTGCACAGCTTTTATGTAATAGAAATTATGTTTAGTCTTTTGTAATTATCTCTTGACTTGTTATGAAGTTTCCTACAAACCAGAGTTGTACAAGATACAACTTTCCATTCATTTCCTTTTATTTTTAAATGATAATGGTCTTTTATATTTATGCTGATAATCCATTTGTAGCTTACTATTGTATATGAGATAAGATTGTTATCTAACTCTACTTACTATTCACTATCCTGCTTTCTAGTTTTCTCAAATTCTTTTGTTGAAAAAATAATATTTCTTTAATAGTTTTGTGTTCCTGGATACATCTAATGCTGAGATTGATGATCTGCTTCTAGGTCATATCCTATTTATTTTACTGCTGTTATCTATTTTTAACCTGTACCAAATGGTTTTGACTATTACTGTTGTATAACAAAACTTGAGACTTTTAAAGATTAGACCTCCTTCATTCTTTGTTGTTGTTGATCAGTTGTGTCTCATTCTTCATGACTCTATTTGGGGTTTTCTTGGCAAACATACTGGAGTGGTTTGCAATTTCTTAGTCTAGCTCATTTTGCAAATGAGGAAACTAAAGCAAATAGGGTTAAGTAATTCGCCAGGATCAAACAGCTAGTAGCGTTTGAGGCTGGATTTGAACTCAGATCTTCCTGACTCCAGGCTTGGCACTCTAAACACTGAGCCACCTAGCTACCTTCCCTTCATTTCTATTTTATGAATATTGTTATTATTAATATTATCCTTGAGAGATCTGACCTCTTCGAAACATATTTTGCCTGGGTCTATAAAGAAAACCCTTTGTGATATGATTAGTATAACATCAAATTTATATATTATTATTTTTGTTATGTTGATATAGCATAACCATGAACAATGAAGATTTCTCCAATTATTTTAAGAAGTCTTCACGTATTTCTGTAAGTATTTTTAGTTATATTTACATAGTGTGCGTGTGTGTGTGTGTGTGTGTGTGTGTTCGTGTGTGTGTAGGTTAGCTTTCAGAAATAATTTTCATTCTGTAGCTGTTCTTAATGGATTTCCTGTCCTATTTCTTTCTGAATTTTTTTTTGGTAATGGACAAAAATGCCAGTGACTTTTTGTAGATTTATTTTCCATCCTCATATTTTGCCTGAGTCATTAACTGTTTTGTTACTTTCTTTCCTGATCTCTGGGATCTTTCCTGTAAACTATTTTACAAACTGCAAATAAGGGATAAATGCTTCTCCTCTTTGTCAATTTTTATTCCTTTTATTTACTTTTCTGGTCTTATTACTATGGCTAAGATTTTTAGAATTGTCAAATAATAACAGGAGGAGGAGATATTCTTGCTTTATCACTACACTTATTGGGAAAGCTACCAGTGTATTTTCATTACAAATAATGCTAGCTCTATATACACACACATATAAATATATATCTAAATGTGTATGGATGTATATACATATGTTAATATATATATATAACTATGTGTGTATATATGCACATATATAACTCTCTATAGTACATATAAAATTATGTATGCACATAATTACACACACATACACACACACATTTGATCACATTAAAGAAGGGGCTTTCAAGGCCTATGCTTTTTTAGGATTTTTTTTCTCACTGAAAGCGGTATCATATTGAAAGCTTCTTTATATATTGAGCTATATGAACTATATCATAGTCTCTCAATGGGCTATCCTTCATTGCTGCAATACACTGCCTCTCACCTCTACCTCAAAGAGTCCATAGCTTTTTTCAAACGCAACTCAAGGACTACTTTGAATCTTTTCCTGATCCCTTCAAGTGTTAGTACCCACTCTAACTACTTTTTTTAAACTATTTTCTATTCATTTTATATTTATTCTGTAAATATTTATTTATGTGCATGCTATCTGTCTTGGTAGAAGGTAAGTTCTTTGAGAGTAAGGATTATTTAATTTTTTGTCTTTTTATCCCCAGTTCCCATATCTATGTCTGAAATATAATAGGCACTGATTAAAGCTTGCTGATTGATTGAGAATAACTTTTTGTTGTCCTCAGTTTGTTCATCTATGAAGTGAGGTTATTATCCTTAATGATCTAATAATCTGGGATTTGTCATTCTATAATCACAGCCACACAGCTATCACAGTTAAACCAATTGCAGTTTAGAGTTCTCTTACCTTCCTCTTGGTAAGTCTGTATCATCCTTCTTCCATCTTACAGTTGGTTGAGGATCTCCCTGGACCTGACACCGAAATTCAACAGCTTCTTCTTCCAGTATCACTTGGTTAATTGGTCGTCTGAGGAAAGTGGGTCGCTCTTAGGGGGAAAAAAGGTTTCAAAGTGAAGTACGGTGAGTGTTTTGTGTAAATAGTTTATTATACTTCTCCTGTCCTCAGTGTGGGTATCCATGAACACTCTTTTCTAAACCCTTTTCACTTCTCCCATATTTCTCCTTCTCATTCATTCATATCATTCAATAGATATCTCCAGACAGTTGGCTCACAAATCCATATTGATATCCCCAGGCTCTTCCTAGAACACCACACCTGAATTTCTATATGCCTGCTATATGTTTCTTTCTGAATGTCCTGAAGATATCACCACCCTCCCAGTCACCAAGCTTTAAAATCTTAGTGTTAGTTTTTAAAACTTTTTTCCCCTTTTTCTCAGAGAGTAATCTAATCATTGATTCTACATCTGTAATATTTCTCTTGTCTTTCTCCATCTCTCTATTTACGTAGGCCATTATGATCTCTTGCCTGCCCTGTTTTCATAATCTCTTAACTGTTCTACTAGTTTCCTCTCTTTAATTCATGCTCCATACAGCTGACCAAATAATCCCCTTAATGCACAGGTCTCAACATTCTGTTTCCCCTAGAGAGGCTGTGTGGTGTGCTATTCTTGGATTAAGGAAGATGTGCTTTCGAATCTCATCTGAGACACTTATTAGCTATATGATCCTGGGCAAGTCCTTTGACCTCTCTGAGGCTCTGTTTTCTTATCCAATAAAATAGGGATAATAATATAATAATAGGAACACAGAGTTTCTGCAAGTGTCAAACAAGATGACAAATTTTGGAACTTAGCAAATCACAAAGCAATATACAAATGCCACCTATTATTATAGCTCTTCAGCCTGGCATTTAAGTCCCTCTGCAAGTACATTATTACCCCACCTTTTCAGCTCCTGTTTCACACTATCTCCCTTCACACACTATTTCAGTCAAATTAGACAAAAAGTTTCTCCTTTAACATGATTTGTTTTCTCTAGCTTCCATGCTTTTTTGTAGGCTCTTCCCCATGCCTTTAATGTGTTCCCTCCTCCTTTTTCTAGTAAAAACTTACTTAATTTCAGATTAGATGCCACCTCTTTCATGAATTCTCCCTGATTATCCTGGCTGATAGCACTCTCTCCATCGACAAATTTTCCTAGAGCACCTTGTGAAAGTCCTTCCTATAATCCCACCTCACTTTATCTTATAGTATCTGTATCCTGCCCTCCCTATCCCCACCTCTAGAAAAATGTAGGAGCTCCCTGAGGACAAGAGCTGTCTCATTCTTCATATTTATTTCCTTAGCATATAGTAAGTATTTAATGTCAATTAAATTAAATTAAAATTATAAACTGTTACTGCCCTTAAGTGGATTGATTTTTCTTATATTTCAAGTAGTCTTAATCTGACATGAGTCTATGTGAATTTAGTTTAACTGAACAGAACCAAGGAATCTAATCTTTCTGACTTGAAATTTGCATGTCTACTTATATGTGTCACATGACTGGACATTTAATATACTGAGTTTATACATCTAGGTAAATTGAGCTGAATTAGATGGAAGAAAATTTTTAATTCCCATCATGATACCAGAATAGAATTATGGCTAATAAATACATAGATATAAGGTAGGAGATAGCAGTATTCTCTTTCCTCTAACCCTCCCAAATGACTATGGTGGCTCAGTAGCCACAGAGGGTTTAAACTGCTTGGATGGCAAAGAAAGAACACAGAAGTGAATATTTACAGTTGTGTTTCATATAGAAATGCTGGTTGTATTCTCCAAAATTCAATAACTCTTCCATTAAATTAATGGTTTCTTTTCTGTGGCAGCTATCTGAATTTTTGTGTGATTCATTATTATAAGCTGCTTATCTATTTTCATTTATCTCTAAGTCACGGAGATATGTTGACACCCAAGATTTCATATTGAAATTAAAAAATCTATTATCCAGAAGAAAGAGTGGCCTCAACAACTTTCATAAGATAATAGATTCAGAGCTGGAAGGAAGGAAGGGACTTTAGATATTTTCCTGACTTGGAAGTCCAGTGCTATACTAACCACTACACTATGCTGCCTCATCTTTAGCCATATATCTCTTTTTATGAACATACTTAAAATTCTAAACATCATACTTAAAACTCTAAACATCAGTTTTCTCTACTGCAACTAGACATGCTATGGTTTTCCTTAAGTTACTGGGATGTGAACATAATATTTGTTTTTCTCAGCATCTAAGAAGACATTTTGAGTTAGTTCAGCTCTACTCTAAGACTCGACTATTCTTTAAAAACTTTGGGTCTCAACCAAGAGTAGTGCCCAGCATATGGTATCTTTACTTCTGCTCCTGGGTTGCTAAACATGCTAAAGTCACAAAATTGAAATTACTCTACCTCTTATAAATTTATGGTGCATAACCTTAGTTGGAGCCTCTTTACTACCACCTATCATATCTCAGCAGTAGTTTTATTTACCTCTTATTGACTACTTATTTCACTACCCACAAGATCCTGTACCAAGTCTTTCTCAAGTCTCTAATGTCACTTCACTTCTCCTGTGCATAATGACCACTGGACCATGATTGTAAGCCCATGATACACCATGCATATCCACAAAAAACAGGGTAGAAGGTTGATTTACTGAAAAGACTGAGGCCAGTTGATAGGAGAACTGTCAGGCCCTGTCTTATAGTCATCAAACCTTCCTCAGAGGAAAAGATATTCCTATTCCTCACTAACAATAATCCTACATTCCCAATTCCATTCATTTTCCCTTGTTCCAGAACTTTGTTCAAATAACTATCTTGTTTATGTCATGGATCTCTGAAAATGACCCCAGAGAGTTGGAGGTATTAACGTTTTGCCAGGTGGTCCCTGACTCTTGCAGAAAACAAAGCAAAACAAAACAAAACAAAATAAACATTTGACTGGAATACTCTCAGAGCCATCTAGGGTAAAAATAATGATCCAAATGGAAATCACTTGATATATTAAAATGAGATTTCAGAAACATGACTTCATTTTAACTTTTGTGTCTTACGGAAAGAAATAAGAAATTCCTATAGTGAAGTGATACACTGAAGTATCTAAGATTTATTTTAAAAATTTGATGAGGAAATGCCAATTTTCAGGGATAAAATATTTGTATTTTCCCAAGTGTTGCTTTTCTCTGTATTATCCACATAAAGTACCCTTTCTTCCAGATTAAAAAGGTTAAGTATATGCAAATGTATTTTTATTTAAAATGTTTTGCATATGCAACTACATGAACAAATACAAAATCTAGCAGAGTTAAAGAAAAAAAAAAGACTGCATATTGGCTATAAAACAGGTGGTGAGTTAGTCAGTAGCTTCCTACAGGTGTAAACAACGAGGTACCTAGAAAATACTTTTGTTTCACTTGAATAGAATCTCATTCATAACTGTACTGGTCAAATCAATGAAGGATAAATGCCCTTTAAAAGTCAGTATTATATTACCTAGTATCTAATTTTGCAAACTACTAGAAGCAAAAGGTGGAAATAATGAATTGATAAAGTTCAGACACATTATCATACATGTGAAAATTATGATAACATTTTTTCCATGTTGTCACTTTTTATATGAAGCATGCCTGACACAAATTGAGGAGAAAGTTATCTCTCATGTAGTTTTCTGCCTGTGTCTCATTAAGAGAATTCTCTGAATAGCCCAATCTCTAATTATGCAGCTATGGAGTGATTAGAGAGAATGTCATCACCAATTCAATTAAAATTCTTTACGTGAGATTAACTGAATTCAAATCACCTGCATAACTTGCTTACAAGGTTAATCACTCCGGAGACAATAAGTGCTACAGCAAACAGCTCTCCAGGAGTCAAATCTGTCCAGTTCCAAATAGGGACTTTGGGAAATACAACTTTATTTGAGGTTAAAATATTCAAGTACCTAATATGGTGGCATAATAAAACATTGTAATTTTCTCAACAATATATAAAGTGTAATGTGTTTAAACTGAAGAAGCTTCCATAAATTCAAAATGTGGTCACCTATAACATTTCAAAGTTACTCAAATATATATAATGAAGTAGTCAGTGACTAAACTTTGGGTTCAAGGGTTATAAAGTTGGCAATATCATGTCAGTTATTTCCAAAATAACTTTAATAATTCTTAAATTGTTGTTGCTTGCCATTATAAAAGTAGCTGGTTATTCTGATGATTTACATGGGCAGAGTGCTGTGGTGCTCAGCAATAAAGCAAAAAGACACTTGAGAAAACCAGAGTTAACTATTACAGGTCAAAGACTGCTAGACATGAGTTTGTCAAGCAGGTACTTTTATTTAATGGGATATTTGATCTGGGAAAGACCAAGGTCTAGGCATGGTATTACCCCCTTTGTTTAAATTAATTGTCCATGTACTATAGTCAATTATAGAGGCTGTGATAGCTTTTAATTGTGAATTATTGACCTCCACGTGCCCCTCTGAAAAAATGAGGTGATCATATATCAGCAGCCTAAATGTGATTAAATTTTAACTACCTTAAGACATTTCTATGCTAAGAATTTTGGCCAACTGAGGTAAAATATGCTACATAATGAAGATTAAATTATATTTAAATGTTCTTTAACAGCCTCTCAATACTTATTTTATTAGATGCTTTTTATGTTATCACTAAAATAGTCAACATCTTAAATCTTACAAGTAGATAATATGTTAATTACATAATATTTGAATGCAGTTTAAAAATAACAAAAATCTTACATTTCATAGGAATTTTAGTTATAAAGCACTTTCACATACGTGATTATTTCATTTGATCGTCACAACAACTGAATTAAGTTGGAAGGTTAGATGTACCATTTTCTCCATTTTGGAAAAGATCAGAGAGTTAGATTTAAGATTCACAACCAGATATTCTAACTCTTTTGGTAAAACAGCTATTCATTTATACCATATAAATACATAGGTTCTAATTCTGAAGTACATAAGAAAAAGAAACTATTTTCCAAATGACATAACAGTGTGTTGTAAAATAAATGCTATCCAGGTATACAGTGATTT